TTAAATTGATAACACCTTGTGAATGTTCAGATCAGATCTCATCTCAGAAGTATCAGATCTCATCTTAATGACTGGAACTCTTCTGGCGGCAAATCTTCATATGGCATTCATGCAGGAATCAATATCAAAACGTTTGGCAACTTCACCATGAACTACACGAAATTGAAAAACAGGTGAACAACTCTCTATAGTGGCTGGCCGTGCTGCACCCTCTCACGGCCCAAAGTAATCAACTCCCGACTGTGAGAAAAAGTGGTTCTGCAATAACAAGCCATTGATCATAGTAAAATGATTCAAACTGTACAATGAAGTCCATACCAGAACCATTCTATAATATGATCAAAACGATCGTAACGCATGTCAAACACGTGAATCAGTGTAACCACAGGCCCTCCACACATGTGTTGAGGGACTGGTGTAACAAACTTAAAAAGTATGTGTAACATACATGGATAACGCCACCTATGGGAGACAAATGAAATGTCACGAAAGTTAGTAGCTATTACACAGCGCTGGTATCAGGATGAACGCACTGAATTAGGTTGTATGCAACTTTTCTCTTCAACAACAAACGAACCAAAGATGGTGACAACTACAACCACTTTTCCTAACTGGCGCACTAGTTGCTCAATGGGTGCGACTCGATCTAACAAAAGTTTCTGATCAAGGACATAAATTAACAGTAAAGTTGTAACATGTACAAAACTAATGGTGTGCAATAACTTTGAAAAACAAAAACTTCCTTAAGATCCCCACCCCAAAACTAAGTCTAATCTAACTCTCCGGCCCAATGTAATTGTATATGCCCCTTCAGATCACCATACGTGTCTGGGGGAGGGGAATATGCAATTAAAATAGGGGTCAATTCATATTACTGTACATGTGAATCACACAAATATTTCATTGTTAGTGAGTAATCAATTTTAGCGCTGTGCCAATTCAACATACCTTCCAAGAGGGGGGGCAAGGGTTATTTTCGTTCAACGTAATTGCAATATTTTTTTGTTCGTACAACGTAAATAGAAAAAATAAATTCCATAATTCTGTAATCACAGGCTGGACGTACAACGTAATCAATCAAATATTTTTTTCGTACACTGTAAAAATGTGTCATTTTTCTTGTACGTACAAAAATTCACATCCAAATAAAAAAAATCGTAAAGAATAATCCAGGGAAATTACATTTTAGAAACTGTAAAACGACTAGATGACACAATTCACTACAAAATTGAATGTCAAGACGTAAAAGGCTCCTCTAACCGAATGAGGAGCATTACGAGGGTAATATGCGCATGCGTCTCTTCACACGGCGCAGCAATGGCGG